TTTTTTTTTTTTTTAATAAAGGAAGGCAGTCAATAAAGGAAGTAATATAAATGAATATCGCGGAGATAAAAAAAAAAAATGAGAGAACGTACAAAAAATATCATTTGAAGAAATACATTTTATTATTAAAATAAAAAGAGAGTGCCATTGTTCTATAAAATTCTGTTTCAAATAAAATTGAGAGCCCAACATTTTTCTTTATAGGAGCGTTTTTTTAAAAGATATATTACAATATAAAAACCATGATCACACACATTCCGATTGATAAAAATTACTTGTCGTATGCATAAGTTTATTTATAAAATTATTCGCGACGAATATACGGGCAATGAATCTTTTGTACCCATCTAATAGCTTTATTACGCAAAGAAAAAATGTTATGATGTAATAAAACATCCGTTTTTTTTTTTTAACGCTTAATCTCTGCACAGCCGGAGCTGGTCGAGTTCTATTACTTATGGAAGAAGACACCGGGCGCTAATAATAATCGTCCTCATCGACGACGCAGGCAGAGCTCGCTACGGCGAATCCGCAACACGCGTAACTCCCGTGCCGGCACACCCAAGGAGGAGATCCCTACGCCTACCAAGGACACACCGCCAGCAGTTAACCTTAGCACGAAGGAGACCGCGTCCGAGGTTGAGACCGTACCGGTCGGTACCCCGGCCAGCCACAATCCAGGTGGCGAGATTAGCTCCGTGACCGAAGACGATAATTCGGAGGAGGATAGTGACTCGCGCGACACTAATACAAACGGAGCGGCGCATTCATGCCAGCATTGCTTTTCCAGTAGCTCGAAAGACTATCAAGTAGCCGGCAAAGATCGACTATTGCTCTGCGCGGAATGCCGGGCGCACTTAAAGAAGACTGGGGAACTGCCGCCCTTGCAGCCGTATCTGTTCCGCCCGGTGCCCGCGGAATCGCCCGAGAGTCCCGGTAGGATGCGCACGCGGAATAAGGCTAAGGAGACACCGAGACCAGCGAGACCGCGACGAACCGGCGGCGGCACAGACACGCCTGATCAAGAAAAGCAGCAACAGCAACAGACGCCTGATAAAAACAAGAAGAAATCGTCCGGCAAAGCCGATACGCCCAAGAAGGGTCACAAGCGCTCGAGTCAAACGGACGACACTTGCAACGACGAGGATAAGGAAGCACAAAAGCGAAAACGCGGCGGCGGCGAACGGCCCGATAGCCCGTCCGAATCTCTTACGACCGACAGTAACTCCCTGATGGATGAGCCGGAGAGAGAGACGGAAGGTGACGCAAACGAGAATCAACCGACGCCGCCAACGGTAGCCGGTGTAACCGGTGGAGAAGAGCCCGTCAGTAGCCCGGCCGTCACGACGCCCGAGGAGCCGTCCGAGCCAACGCCAGCGTCAACCCCGGTACCGGCCGCAATACAGAGCCTGCCGATATCGGTGCCGGTGATACATAATCTGGAGAAGAAGCCTTCCGTCTTATTGGATCAAGAACCGGTAGATCAAAACAAGATAGCCGACCAGACGGAAGACGTACCATTGGTCATGAACCAAGCACTGAAATTAGAACCGTTGCCGATCGACTCGACGATGTCACCAACTATGTCTAACGAGGATATGGGCAAGGAGCCCGAAACGGCGCAATTGAATTTGAGCACATCTGCGCAATCTGTTGGGACGGGTCCGAGCGACACAGCAAGTCCCGCGGTTACGGTTCGCAATCTATCGCAAAATATACCGAGTATTATCACGAGCGTAGGCTCACAGGCAGCTATATCAAGCTCGCAAATTCCGGTGATATCGCCCGGTCAGCAACAGACCGGCACTGGTACCGGTGGAATGCCGAACCTTTCACAAAACATGCCGCCGCAGATGACGCAGATGACGCTGCCGCCGAACGTGCCGAATATGGGACCTACAAATCTGCGCCACGTAACCGAGAGCTTGCCAACTTCGGCGCAAACATTGCAAACATTGCTGTCGGGACCGCCACCGTTGAATCTCAATATCTCGCAGAGCGTGTCGGCCGGTATCGGTGGCCCGATCGGCCAGATACCGCAGATGCCACCAATGTCGAGTTCGCCACCGCAACCACTCGGTTTGACCGTAATGTCGTCCGAAAGTAGAAATGCCGAAAGAATGGTGGACGATAGACTGTCAGTGAACGATCGAGTGCGCGATAGCCGAGCTCCCGACTCTCGTATGATGCCAGAGCGCGTTTCGGAACGAACAAGCGAGAACAATGAGTCGGAACGATCGGAGCCGAGCAACTTGTTTCAGCCGATACAATCCGGCGGAATGTTGGCGATGGAGAAGCCCGCGGGTATCTACAATTTACCGGCCGGTACACCGCCGATGGAGCCGCAGAATCTAAAGATAAAGCAGGAGATCATACCACCGGAGCCGGATCCTCTGCAAAGCTTGAAGGAGGTCAAGGTACCGGGCTTCCAGAGCTCCAATTTTCCAGGTCCGAGTTTGGACAATATCAAGAAGGATCCGGACGGCGCGAGCAAACCGCCAACACCAAGCAAACATTCTATGCCGCCAGTTAGTCAGGCGGTACCGTCGATTCAGCCGGTCGCGGCATCGCCGACACCGACGCCGAACCTACCGCCGCCGCCCAGTTCGATCCCTCAACCGGTAATGCATCCGGCGCAGCAGCCGAGCCCGCATATGGCTCATCCCTTCCATCCACATCATCCGCTGATGCATCATTCTTTGTTCACCGCTATGCATACGTATCATCCTCATCCCTATCCAGGATACGCACCAGGATACCCATCCTTCCCGCCATACGCTTACGGTCCGGTACCTCATGCCATTCCGCCGCCTTCGCCGCAACGAAGTCAGGAAAGCAGCAACGCTATGATGGCGGCGCATCATGCCAGCACCAGCTCAAGTGTCACAAGCAGAGAAGAGGGAGAGAATCTAATCGCGAGTCATCACCATTCGTCTAGTATGCATCAGCAGCCGACGAATTTGCATCACGAGAAACTATTGAGCATCTCTTCTCACAGCTCTCACAGTCATTCGTCGTCCCACAGCTCACATAGTAGTCAGCGCAAACCGTCGCTCGTCTCGGCTACATGTCTAACGTCATCGGCTAGTTCCGCGCATCATCATCATCGTGCGTCGCAGCCGCAGCAACCGCAGCCGATTATGCAGGAGCCGAAGATCGAACAACAAGACATGGAGACCGAGCCGGAAGAGTCAGTTAGTCCTCGTGGACCGTCGCCAGAACCGCGAATTGAGGATTCCGAGTGTCATCGTTCGCAGTCGGCGATTTTCCTGAGGCATTGGAATCGCGGCGAAAATAACTCGTGCACGCGCACTGATTTGATGTTTAAACCTGTGCCCGATTCGAAGCTTGCAAGAAAGCGCGAAGAACGCTCGCGGAAACAGGCAGAACGAGAGCGAGAGGAGCGTGATCGCGCCGCTGCTGCAGCTCAACAGGCTAGAAAAATGACGACACCGGAGAAACAACCTGAAGTATGCAAACCACCCAGCCGCGGACACCTCGAACCGGTCGTTTCGCCATACGATCGTTACGCCGCGCGTCCTGGTTCTTATGCGGACACGCCGGCGCTCAGGCAATTGTCTGAATATGCTAGACCGCACGCCGCTTTCTCACCCGCCAGACATCCCGCCCCGCCCGATCCGATGTTACATTATATCTACGGACGTGAGGCTGCAGCAGCGCAACGGTTGGAGTTGGAGCATTTGGAGCGCGAAAAGAGAGAACGCGAGATACGCGAATTACGCGAGAGAGAGCTGAACGATCGATTGAAGGAGGAATTGTTCAAGGGTACGCCTAGACCGATGCCGGCACCGCCGGTTGATCCACACTGGCTGGAGATACACCGCCGATACGCCGCCGCCGGTCTGACACCAGCCCCTTCTGGACCACCCCAGGCCTTACATCAGTTCGGCCTCTACGGCGCTCCACCGGGTCCAAGTCAACTCGAGAGAGAACGACTCGAACGGCTAGGTAACTATTGATTAAGCTAACATTTTATAATATTTCATAACAGCGAGTGTAGAAGTACAGACTTCGTGTCGACAATCATTCGTTCGTTCGTACGACTTATAGAGTTTGCAAAATTGGGATTGATTTAAGAATATATAGTCAAAAGGATGATAGAAAAATCGATAGGCTGGGAAGAAAGATGGAATTAGATTGAGAGCGCCAAGTTATTTCAGAGATGCGCGTGATATAGTTAAACGTAAATGTTTAAATTCTTATGGCCGATTTCTTCAGCGCCAATTAACTGTGGTGACAAGATAGCTAATCTTGGCTCTCTGTGTAACCAATGATATATTATTAGAAGAACACGGGGTTTTCTCTCGAATAATTTTATCCAACAAATTAACTGGAGATGAAGAAATCGGGCAACGATGAGAATCGTATCTGTGATCTTCGAGTTATGTGATCGAAGCGCTGTCGCGTTTAGGGATTCCGACTGCAGCCGGCGGGGGGCCAGCGGGTGGAGCGGCTGGCCATCCCGTGGCGGCTCATCATCACGGCCAGTTGGAAGAACGGCTGGCTCTGGCCGCTGACCCGATGGTCCGATTACAAATGGCTGGCATCTCGCCCGAGTATCACGCTCACACTCACGCGCATACGCATGCGCATACGCACTTGCACTTACATCCGGGACAGCAACAGGCCCAGCAACAGGCTCAGCAACAGCAGGAAGCCGCTGCGGCTGCGGCTGGATTTCCTCTGCCGGGTAGGTCCTTACACACAGGATGTTTCTTCTAAGCTTCTCCTGAAGAGCTTCTCCTTTTAAGAAAACGCCGCTCTCGCTTATTCCTCGTCGCTCAACAGCCGTTTCTCATTGATCGTCAGCCTACACTTACCGTCTAGGTCGAGACGATCCTTTATTTTCTGCACCATATCAGCACGCCTGCGAACTTCCGGTTGCTCGACTCTGATCTTTGGCTAGTCGCTTATCACCGTCGCAGGTGCAAGTGCGAGTGAGTGTTGTCGAGGAATAGGCGCGAGTGTGCGTGTGCGTGTACCTTAGAAATGAGAAGTAACATTTCTGGGATATTTTGTCGGTAGTTGAAAGAGGGTTCGACGGTTGCAATTTTCGCGCGTAGTTTCTTCTATATTTGCGAGATAATCGAATATGCTTCCGCAATTTTATAACGCGTCCCTACTAGTACTCTTGTAAAACAATTATTATATGAGGCAATGTTTATATAATTATATTAAATATAATAATAAGTATTTTATAATGTTTTTTTTAATTCATCTTGTTTTTCTAACACGGCGATATTTTCGTTCACAGCTGCGGCCAGCGCCAATTATCCTCGTCCCGGTTTAATGCCGCGCGATCCTGCTTTGGCACTTCATCCGGCGGAACTTCTAGGAAGACCGTACGCGGACATGGCGGCGCATCACGAACAGTTGCAACGGCATCTCATGATAGAGCGCGAACGATTCCCTGCGCATGCATCTCTCGTGGCTCATCACGAAGAATACCTGAGGTTTGTAGGCATTTGAAATCACTATCAAAACTTGCCTAACTTGTTATTGCATAATGCAATGATTTAAGGTAGCGGGGTATCCGCACTAACAAAAGGTGTTTTTTAGACAACAGCGTGAGCGCGAGCTTAAAGTTCGCGCGCTGGAAGAAGCCGCACGTGGATCGCGTCAATAATTATATTTTTTATTTATGTACATATAATATATATATATAGTTTCTTGATTGCGTTTAAGCACGATATATTATTACATATATGTATATGCGCGTATGTTGTATATATACGCGTATATATTATATATATCCGAGCGTTCTTTCAACGCATCGATGAGTTGAAGATTAAAAAAAAGTCGGATCTTGCTCTGTAATCATATATTCTCTAATTGTAAGATCAGAAATTATTTTTATGATCTTTCAGATCGCACAATATAAGCGATGGAAATATATATATATATATACATATATATATACGCGCAGCGAGCATAATCATTGTAATTCTCATTATTGTAAATAACACGACAAAATATTTGAGTTTTCCGGTGCTGTAACGCTCAGTTACTGGTACTTTTTAGAATGATCGAGATTTATATATAAATGGCAGATATGTAAGCCGTTCAAGTCTTTAAATATTATATTGTTAATTCTTATACTTCGCTATCGACAATGTCACAGTTTGTCGATCTTGCCCGGTTTATTCGATTGACCTTGCTTTATTATTTGATTTTAAGTAGTATATATGCCAAAGCGCTTGTACAAGGTAAAATTCTACCGCGTTCTCTTTTTTAATCCTATGTATATATAGATATTATATATATA